CCAATCTGGCCGAGAGAGATGCTGCTCTGTGAGCATCAGTCCCCAACTGGGTGCCCGAGCCCTCCCAGCACCCATGGGGTGCAGGAGGGGACGTGGGACTCCTGTCCCCTGTCTCTGCAGAGGGGACAGCCCCGGTGCTCAAATCTGCACCGAGCAGCTCTTGCAGGGTGCCCAGCCGGGCAGTCGTTGGGTTTATTTCCTGCGTTTTCAGTCCAACACACCGGCGGCACTTTTGCAGCGTGCCGAGGGGTTGTCCATCACTGCGGCTCGGAGGGGCGCTGGGGTGTGGGTCCCCGGGGCAGCCCAGACCCCAAAACCATCCGGGATTCAGCAAGGGGCTCCTCTGGCCGTGCTGAGGATGCGTTAAGCAACAGCAGCTTTTAATTGCAAGTGACGTTTCCGAGCACCAGCTGGCATCTTGCTGCATGGAGCGACACCGGCGCGGGGCTGGTGCCACCGCGGAGGGCTGCTTGTCCCCCTCCCTGCTGCCCAGCGTGGCACCAGGGCGATGGCCCTGGGGGCAACAGGGCTTGGAGGGGCTCGGATGCCCCTGGTCGCAGGTCTCATCATGGGTTGGTTTTGCCAGTGGGCTCCGAGGAAGGGGTGAGCTCCAGCATGGGGGTGCGTTGCCGTGGGCAGGGACGTGTGCCCCCCGCGCGGACTGCCACCCCACCTGCCGCGGGCTGGGCACCCACAGTCAGTGGGGAATCGGGGACCTGCAGAGGGGACGTGCCCAAACACCCCCCAGAGCCTGGCTTTGGGGTGCAGCCGGCAGAGACGCAGCGTGGTGGGTGTCCCAGCCGGGTGGGCAATGCCAGCGGGGGCCACGCACCGGGGGTAAGAAGGGGGAAAGCTGAAGGATGGTGTCTAGGGGGGAAACTTGGAGATAAGGAGCCAGGCGTGCGCTCTGGTTGGGATTTGGGAAGTGGCAATGAGGGGGGCTGGGGCAGGGGATGGGCAGGGAACAGGCAGGGGGACAGGCAGGGGACCGGCTGCTCCGGTGACTGTGCAATTTGCAAAATCCCAACATGGGGGTTGCAGATCTGAACCCTCCCTCAAGGGCAAAGCCTTGAAATATTGAAGGTGGCTGTCAGCTGTGGAGAGAGGCACCAGAGAGCTTCCAGCTCCTCCTGTCACCTCTCGCTGCTGTCCCTGTCCCTGGCCGAAGGGGCGATAAGGAGCATCATAGCAGTGATGGTTTTCGGAGAGGGGATAGGGGTGGGAGGGCAATGGGCTGGGAGAGGGACGGTGGTGGTGGGATGGAGATGGGGTGGCGGTGGGAAGGGGCGGACTGGCTGGGAAGGGCTGGGGACAAGGGACATGGCACTGGGGTGTACGTTGTGGGGAGCAGCACCTCTATGACCCCCCGGAGGGGCTGGGCTGGTGGGTAGAGCCCCGTGGCCATCCCTCCACGACGTCCAGCCTCCAAAGGATGAGGATCCCCCTCTCCCCCTGGGGTCAACCCACCCTGGTGCTGCCCCAGGGCGGTGGGGAGGGCTGGGGTGAGCGGGGCCGGGGGTCCCGGCAGGCGGCTGGATGCGAGGGGCTGTGTCCCGTCCTGGCAGGGACGCGGCGGTGGACATGGGCAGAGCGCCGGCGCACACTCTGCTACTGTCGATGGTGCTGGGCTGCTCGGCTGCCTTCACGGACCTCCTGCTGCCGGGCCCCGAGGAGCCGGTGGTCAACGTGGCCGTGGTGTTTGGGGGCACGTCCTACCCCCTGCACATCCGCTCCCGCCTGAGTCCCCAGAGCTTCCTGGACATGCCCCTGGAGATCCACCCCATCACCGTCATCGTCAACAACACCAACCCCAGCACCCTCCTCACCCAGATCTGTGACATCCTCGCCAGCCACAAGATCCACGGCATCGTCTTCGAGGACAACGTCGGCACGGAGGCCGTGGCCCAGATCCTTGACTTCATCTCCTCCCAGACCCAGGTCCCCGTCATCAGCATCAGCGGGGGATCTGCTGTGGTCCTGACCCCAAAGGTGAGGCACTTGCTGGGGTTTATTTCTGGGAGGGTTGGGAGAAATGAGGGATTAGTAGAGAGGGGTAGATATGGGATGTGAAATGCTGGAGGGCAGAGGAGCTGCTGGGCTGCAGCGCGGGGGCTCTCAGGCAGGAATAGGCAGTGGCTGTGGCAGTGTGGCCGACCGGGGCGGTGGAACGTGGCGGAGACTTCAAGGAGGGTCCTTGTTGGTGGGATGGGGGAGAGGACTTCAGTGCCCTGTGGAGGGACCTTCCCTGGTGTCCTGCTTCCCGTCCCCTCCAGGCTGTGCCCACCATGGGGTGCCGGGGTCATGGCGCCGGGGCTGCCAGGGCAGCGGCAGGGTTGGCACGTCCCCATTCTCCTCCCTCGCTGCCCTGCCGGGGCTGGGTCCAGCCCTGAAATGGCCGAGCAGGCAGCATGGAGAAGCCTCGCTTGGCTGCAGCAGCGATCTCAGGTGCACCATGGGCCAAAACAGGATTTTTGGCTTCTCTGCTCCTCGCTGGCATCAGGCACTGTCACTGTTACCTGCCTGCCGGGGAGCACTGGCGGCAGGGAGAGCTGGAGCCCGGCTGGAGGGCGCTGGGTGGGCAGCGATGGGCTGCGGCGAGGCTCCCGTCCCTCCCAGGGAGGAGATTTGGGTTATCTCCTCCTGGCTGCTCGTCTCACCCTGCCCAGCCTGGGCACCAGAGGGGTCTTGGTGCTGGCTCCTTCCCATGGCAGCAGCCCCTGGGGTGGGGACCCTGCTGCTCCTTGGGGCACTGGTTTCATGCTCTGCTTGCCCAGAGGTTTTGGGGTCTAAACCCCCTGGATGGCACCTCGGCAGCCCTGCCTGCACTGACGGGTGCTCCCAGACCACCCCGAGCTGCTGCTCGCTGTGGATGGGTGGCAGTGGGTGCAGAAGGCTCAGGTGGGTGCAGTGGGCTCCGGTGGATGCAATGGACTTGGGTGGGTGCAGAGGGCTCGGGTGGGTACAATGGACTCGGGTGGGTGCAGAGGGCTCAGGTGAAGCCCCAAGCAACTAAAAAAATAGCCATGGCTTTGCTGTGGTCTGGGTGTTTTTCTGCAGCTTTCTCCAGGGGTTGGGTATTTTGGGGGCAGTGGAGGGACCTGTCTGAAGGCTCGACCTCCCCCTCCTCCTCTCCCAGGTCCGAGGTCCCCGGCAGCTCCCACTGCCTGGCCGTGACTCCCCAGGTCTCACCCATCCGGCTGGACAACCAGCCCCATTGGAAAAACTACTTCTCTGGAGGTGGAGGGGATCTGGGTAGCAAAACCCTGCTGCCTGCACGTGACCTTCTGCAAATGCCATTCGCTGAATCATTTAAGGCAGAATCAGATCAATTAAGGTTTGCTAATGAGAGGCCAGATGGCCGGGGAGGTGGGGCGGGAGGGAAGGAGCCGCGCAGGCTCCGGCAGCAGGTAGCGAGTCAGAGCTGGGATGGGATTTACGCTCCTTGCCCCCCTCCCTCTCCTGGTTTAAGGAGAAATTGTTGGTCTCCTTCGGAGGATGGATGAATTTTTTGGTCAATAAGCTGAGAAATGGAGGAGAGGCCGCAGGGATGAGGTTCCTTGGAGACCACTGGTGGATCAGTCCCATTTTGGGTGTCTCCAGCCCATGGACCATGCCAGTTCGTGGCTCCCTCGAACCCTTCATGATGGCAAATTCAAGGTGGCTTGCACAGGTGCAAGAGACCTGGACCATGGTGCCGGAGCAGCCCCTGTCCCCTTCTCCTCCCGCAGGAGCCCGGCTCGGCTTTCCTGCAGTTGGGTGTCTCCATCGAGCAGCAAATCCAGGTGATCTTCAAGGTGCTGGAGGAATACGACTGGGGCTCCTTTGCCGTCATCACCAGCCTCTACCCGGGCTACAACATCTTCCTGGAGGTCATCCGCTCCTTCACGGAGGCCAGCTACTTCGGCTGGGAGCTGCAGGAGGTGCTCACCTTTGAGATGAGCCAGGAGCGGAGCAGCTCCAGGACACAGCGGCTCCTGCGGCAGATCGATGCCCAGGTCATCATCGTCTACTGCGCACGGGAGGAGGCCGAGTACCTCTTCGCTATGGCGGAGCAAGCCGGCCTTGTGGGGCCGGGCTATGTCTGGATCGTGCCCAGCCTGACGGTGGGCAACATGGAGGTGCCACCCTCCTCCTTCCCCGTCGGCCTCATCAGCGTGGTGACGGAGAGCTGGAAGCTGAGCCTGCGGCAGAAGGTGCGGGATGGGGTGGCCATCATTGCCATGGGGGCAGCCAGCTTCTTCCAGGCCCACGGCTACCTTCCGGAGGTGGGACGGGACTGCCGGGCTCCTGCCGGGGCCACTGCTGCCAACACCAGCTTCTACCGGTGAGGGCCAGGGACCCACTGGGGCGGGTGTGAAATGGGGGAAACGGAGAGGGAAGGGGCATGGGAGGAGGATGGAGCTGGCGGGCAAGGAGGCGATGCTCGCTGTGGGCTGCAGCTGGTGGTCCATGTTTCTCATCTGGCTTTGTCCTGGAGCATCTCCCCACAGCAGCCCTTGCTTTTTCCCGTGCTTCTCTGTGACTCGGGACCCACGGGGGTCTCAGGGGGGTTTCACAGCTCTGCTTTGCAGTGCAGACGTGGCACCTCGGGGCTGCCGTGGCACTCTGTGCACCCTCAACCCTGCAGCGGTCCATCCTCAGTGCCTCCTTGCTGGCAGGGCTTTCTCCAGCTCCCCGCTGCTCCTTGCGTAGGGGCTAAACCTGGTCCCCAACTCTCAGCCCCACGTCTCTCCATGGGACCCGTGGCAGCCTGGCTGGAGCTGGAGGAGGAGGAGGAGGGCTGTACGGGGCTTATGGGCGCTGTGTCCCACCAGGCACCTCCTCAATGTGACGTGGGAGCACAGGGACTTCTCCTTCAATGAAGGCGGCTACCTGGTCAGGCCCACCATGGTGGTGATCTCGCTCAACCAGCACCGGCTCTGGGAGATGGTAGGACCCCCGGGCATCCCGGGATGGGCACAGCAGGGGGGTGGCTGGGCAGGGTGAGCCTGGGGCCATGCACAGGCTGGGGTCCCACCCTGGGGCAGGTTGTCCCATGCAAAATCCATGGCTGGTACCAAAAGTACCCATGGCAGCATGATGGGGCTTTGCCAAGAACTGTTTTTTTTCCCCTGTGATTTGGATGAAAAATTCCAAAAGAGGCAAAAATGCAGCTGCCCACCTCTGGAGAAGAGCAGCCAAACACCTAGACCTGAAACAAGCTGCGCAGAGGGTTTTTTTTCTAGTTTAAAAGTATTTTGGGTGAAGTTTGGTCAGGTTTGTGCTCACCTAAGCTCGGTGCTTGGGGCCCAGGAGGAAACACCTTGCCCTGTGGTCAGTGGGTGCATGGGGAAAGGGATGCTGAGATGGGTCTCACCATGGCTGAGCTCCAGCCTAACGAAGCTCCGGGAGAAACGAGCCCCGAAGGCGCAGGGCGGGTGGACACGGGACCCCACAGGACCCCCAGAGCCCCCCGCCGGGGTGACGGTGTGCTCTCCCTTGGGGGCAGGTGGGCAAGTGGGAGAAAGGCATCATCCACATGAAGTACCCGGTGTGGCCCCGCTACGGCTCCTTCCTGCAGCCCGTGGCCGATAACCGCCACCTGACGGTGGCCACGCTGGAGGAGAGACCCTTTGTCATCGTGGAGAACACGGACCCCAGCACCGGGGTCTGCGTGCGCAACACCGTGCCCTGCCGCAAGCAGACCAACTCCTCCCAGAGGTGAGCAGCGAGGATGGAGCTTGGCAATTTTGGCCACCGGTCCCTGGGCACGTGGTGTCCAGGAGGCACCAGGGTGCTCCGAGCATCTTTGGTTGGTCCAACCCATCTTCCCCACTGTGGTTTCAGTGGCGATGGCCTCGTGGATCCCTACACCAAGCTGTGCTGCAAGGGCTTCTGCATCGATATCCTGAAGAAGCTGGCCAAGGCGGTGAAGTTCTCCTACGACCTCTACCTAGTGACCAACGGCAAACACGGCAAGATCGTCCGCGGGGTCTGGAACGGCATGATTGGTGAGGTAGGGGTGGGCATGGCTCGGTCCCCACCTTTGGCCCGCCCTGGGGGGCACCGCTCAGCTTTCCTGCCGGAGACGGGGTCAGGGTGTCTGCGGTGGGACGCTGGGCAGGGGACAGCTTGGGATCAGCTTATGGGCAAGGCTTGGTGGAGGAGAACCCCACAGCTCGTTGTGTTTATGTCACTGGTCATTTAAGCAGCTAATATTTAAAAAAAAAAAAAGACAAAAGCCGAAGTTGGAAATGCTGGAGATGAGGAAATGCCTGGGGAAGGTGGCCTGGGTCCCTCTGCCTGTCCATCTGCCCATCCCGAGACCATCTGCCCCTTCCCCAGGTGTACTACAAGCGTGCAGACATGGCCATCGGCTCCCTCACCATCAACGAGGAGCGCTCCGAGATCGTGGACTTCTCCGTGCCCTTCGTGGAGACGGGCATCAGCGTCATGGTGGCCAGGAGCAACGGCACCGTCTCCCCCTCTGCCTTCCTGGGTGAGCCGTGTGTCCCTCCGTCTATCTGTCTGTAGGTTCCGACAAATGCAAATTAGAAATATTGTTCCGTTTTAATAACTTTTAAGGGAAAGAAAGCCTAAGTCATAAGGGAAGGAGACGGTGCTGCCGGCTTTGGGGCTTCCTCCTCCCCCCGCCTGAATAATCCTTTTATTACGGAGACGGAGGCTGGGATCTGAGGTTTCCTCCTCTTCATTACGGGGAGGTGGGGGGAGGCGAGGTGGGGATTGTGGGGATTTGCCAGCTCTGAGCTCTGCCCTGGGGACCCCTTCTCTGCCACCGTCACCAGAGCCCATGGCTAAGCCGGGTGTAGGAAACCGCCGGGGCTAAAAGTTTTATTTAATGAGTTTTAAAAAAGCAAAGCTGCAGTCTGGGAAGGGGAGGAGGCTGGCCAAGGTCATCACGAAATTCAGCCTGAGCGCTCAGGCAGAGCTCGAGGCTCTCGGCAAGGGCACAGCGGCGACGTCCCGGCTCGGCTGGAGCCGGGCTCCCACGTGGGGAGGGGGTGGGTGGGTGCGGGTGGCTGTGGGTGCCAGGGATGCCGTGGGGTGCAGGACATCACCAGCCTGGGCATGTCTTCCCCCCTTCTGTCCCCCCCACGCCGTGGGGCCCGACCCCCCCACCCTGAACCAGAGGACACCTTGACCGACCTGGGGGACAGCCGGAGCATCCCGCCGTGGTTCGGCAGGGCCGGGGTCCGCAGACCCCATGCTGCCTCCCGTGCTAATGAGCCGCATCCCCATCAGGGGAGGCCTCTCCTCCCTGACAGCGAAGGACACGCTGACAAATGGACCTCGGCAGCCACATGTCGAGGGCTCGGATGCATCCCCACCGCTCCGTCCCAGCTCATCCCAGGCAGGCGGTGGTTCACCACCCACCCCAGCTCCCCAGGGGTTCTCCCAGGGGCTGAGCGGGGCCAGGGGGCTGGTCCTGTGCCCGGTGCAGGCTGGAGCCATTGCAGGGGACAACCCGTCATCCCACGGGAAACCCTCCCGCTGATGCCGGGATCTCCCCATTGATGAAAGCCTGATTTTATTTAGAGAGGGAAGTGTGGCTGCATCCCCTCGTCTCGCAGCATCCCTCTTCTCTCCTGATGTCCTGTGGATCTGCTCGCCCACGGTGCCGCCAGCCCCCGTCTCCTCTCTGAGGAGGGGCAATATTCAGGAGGATGAGCCCCATCCATCGGCGAGGGCTCCTGGGGGTCCCCGGGGGGCATCCCAGGGGGCTGACGGGGTCCCGCTTGCCTTGCAGAGCCCTACAGCCCAGCCGTGTGGGTCATGATGTTCGTGATGTGCCTCACCGTGGTGGCCGTCACCGTCTTCGTGTTCGAGTATTTCAGCCCCGTCGGCTACAACCAGAACCTCACGAGCGGCAAGAGTGAGTGGGGGAGGCAGGAGCTGGGGGGACAGACACGTCCCCAGCCAGGCTGACGGCTGTCCCCTCCGTCGCCTGTCCCCGCAGGGCCGGGAGGTCCCTCCTTCACCATCGGCAAGTCGGTGTGGCTGCTGTGGGCTCTGGTCTTCAACAACTCGGTGCCCATCGAGAACCCCAAGGGCACCACCAGCAAAATCATGGTGCTCATCTGGGCCTTCTTCGCCGTCATCTTCCTCGCCAGCTACACCGCCAACCTGGCCGCCTTCATGATCCAGGAGCAGTACATCGACACCGTGTCGGGGCTGAGCGACAGGAAGGTGGGGCTGATGATTGGGCTGGGATCCCGAAACAATAATAAGTTTTTCTGGGTGCGGAGAACATGGAGGGGGCTGCATGTGACTGCTGGCCGGCTGGGCATGGGTGGGTGGATGGAGGGCTGGCTGCGGGGAGGGGGGGACATGCTGGGGACACGCTGGGGACACGCTGGGGACACGGCAGGGACATGGACTCTGTGTGATGCCACTCCCCGGGGCTCCCCGTTGCAGTTTCAGAAGCCGCAGGAGCAGTACCCCCCCTTCCGCTTCGGCACCGTCCCCAACGGCAGCACCGAGAGGAACATCCGCAGCAACTACCCCGACATGCACACCCACATGGTGAAGTACAACCAGCGCTCTGTGGAGGACGCCCTCACCAGCCTCAAAATGGGGTACGGCTCCCCCAAATGGGGCATGGCTCACCTGGGTCAGGGGTACGGCTCCCCCAAATGGGGTACAGCTCCCAGAGCTGGGGTACACCTCCTCCAAATGGGATACAGGACTCCCAAGTGAACTCCGGCTCCCTGGGATGGGGTACGGTGCCTCCCAGATGGGGTAGGGCTTCCTCAAGTGGGGTACAGCCCCCCCAAGTGAGATACGAGCTCCCCAGGCTGAGTATGGCTCCCCCAGCTTCCCTGCATGGGGTACGGGCCCCCCAAACAGGGTACAACCCCCTGCAGATGGGGCACAGCTTCATACATCTCCCCCCAAAAGGGATGCAGCCCCCCCCAGATGGGGTATGGCTTCCCCAAAAGGGATAGAGCCCCCCCAGGTTGGGTACTTCCCCCCCAGGGGGGTTATAGCTCACCAAGATGGGGCAGAGACCCCCAAAGAGGACACCACCCCCTCCAGATGGGCTACAGCTATCCAAAAGGGGTAGAGCTCCCCCAAAAGAGGTACAGCCCCCCCCAGAAAAGGGCTGGCAGCCCCCGCCCTCACCCTCCCTCCCGTCGGCGGGGCAGGAAGCTGGACGCCTTCATCTACGACGCGGCCGTGCTCAACTACATGGCGGGCAAGGACGAGGGCTGCAAGCTGGTGACCATCGGCAGCGGGAAGGTGTTCGCCACCACAGGCTACGGCATCGCCCTGCAAAAGGACTCGCGTTGGAAGCGGGCCATCGACCTGGCCCTGCTCCAGTTCCTGGGAGACGGTGGGTGCCCGGGCGAGCTTCTTGTTAGCCCTGTCCCCATCCTCACCCCACCCCTGCCCTGCAAATTAACCCAGGGACCAGGGCTTTGGTCCCCAGACCCTGTGCAGCCCCCACGGCTCCTTGCAGGAGGCCACTGAGGGGCTTCTCCACCGGCTCCTTTCTGGGGACGTTAAACCCAGCAGCATCTCTCCAGCTGGGTGCTGGGAGGGTCAGTCCCTCTGTGGTCCCTCCTCTTCCTGCAGGCTGTAAAATCCTGGCGATGGGCATGCAGAAAAGCTAAGGGTTAGGAGGAGAAGCCCGGGAAGGGGACAGCGAGCACGGCTAGCTGGCATCTGGGTGGGGGACAGAGAGAGGAAAGGGCCCTGGAGAAGGACAAGTGACTGGTGGGACCCTCAGGCCAAAGGGCAGCAGCAAGGACCAGGCGATAACAGCTCCAGGGGCTTGGGGGTGGCTTTCTCCTCCTCCAGCCACGGTGGGGTGGGGATGGGCAGGGGCTGTGCTCGGGGAGATGATGCTCAGGGGGGCCATTTTCACCCCCCGCCCCGCTGTGCATGTCTGGCCCCAGGCGAGACCCAGAAGCTGGAGACGGTTTGGCTGTCGGGGATCTGCCAGAATGAGAAGAACGAGGTGATGAGCAGCAAGCTGGACATCGACAACATGGCTGGGGTTTTCTACATGCTGCTGGTGGCCATGGGGCTGAGCCTGCTGGTCTTCGCCTGGGAGCACCTCGTCTACTGGAAGCTGCGTCACTCTGTCCCCAAGTCCCACAAGCTCGACTTTCTCCTGGCCATCAGCAGGGTGAGTGATGCTGCCGAGGGCTCTCGAGGGGCCCAAATGTCCTCCCACGGTGTCGTGGGAATGGGCAGGGCTTGGGGGGCATCGTCCCTTTGACCCGCACGGGAGGGACTGGAGGTGTTCGTGCTGATGTGAGAACAGCTTTCTTGGCTGGGGAGAAAAGGCAGGTTTTGGGGAAAGGGCTCAGCCCTGGGAATGACCCCGCATCCGTATTAGCATCCCTGGGGAAATGGGTGACGGAGGATGGTGTCACCCACCCTGGCAGTGCTGGGGATGCTGAGGAGGGGACACGGGTGCCATCAAGACATTTCAGCCTCAGCAGCATCATCTGGGCTCGGCAGGGCGGGTTGGTGGGTGCAGGACCCCAGTGACCCCGCTGATGGTGAGGGTCCCCCCTTCCCTCCACAGGGCATCTACAGCTGCTTCAGTGGGGTGCAGACCCTGGCGAGCCCCGGGCGGGCGCCCACGCCTGACGTCACCGCCAGCTCGGCCCAGGCCAACGTGCTGAAGATGCTGCAGGCGGCCAAGGAGATGGTGTCGACGGCCAGCGTGGGCGGCTCGCTGGAACAGGCCACCCGCACCATCGAGGACTGGAGCAGCCGCAGTGAGCACCTCCAGACCACCTTCTCCCTGAGGACACCCCAGCTCGTGGTGCAGAACAGCACCGGTGCCCACCGGGCCCCCTCCTCCGGCCCGGCCCCCCCTGAGAGGCTGGGGAGAGCCTGCGCTCCCAAGGGTGCTCCCCTGGGGCTGCCACTGCCCCAGCCCATCCCCGTGGACTCCCGGCTGCCTGCAGAGAAGTGGAGAGGGGCGAATGAGCACGTCCCCCGCCTCCTCCACCCCCTGAAGTTTCGGGGTGGCTGTGTGGGGGATGAAGCCCTCCCCGGTATCCCCCACCTCCTGGTGAAGACCGCCCCGGGGGGGGATTTTGGGGAGCAGGCACTGGTGGGGAACCACATTGGGGCTCCCCTCCCGCCCCCCACATCCCCCAGGGACCTTCCACCACCGGACATCTACAGGGAGCACAAGCAGCCGGCGGGGCGAGGGAACCGGCTGCAAAACACCCCCCTGCTCCAGGGGGACAGGGGACACGGGGGCTCGGGGACGCTGCCCATCCTGCCCTCGTGGAGCCTTCCCGAAAGGCGCCAGGACTTGCAGAGCTGGGGTCCAGCCGGCCCGGCTGGAGGCTGCGGTGATGGAGCAGGAGAAGCCGAGCCGGCGGGCGAGCTCGGCCAGGGTGCCCGGGGAGCGGGGCGAGAAGCGGCGTCCTGGGGGGCTGCGACGCTGCAGTGCTGCCTGCCGGCCCGCCCGTGCCAATGTGCCCGATCTCTTCCCCGAAGCCGAGGCCGGCTACGGCTGCGGCCCCCGCTGCCCACAGGTCGCTGGCCGGCTGGCACCACGCTCGCCCGTGGCCAGGCTGCCGTCCTACCGGGAGGCTTGCTGGCAAAACCCCCGCGCCACTGCCACCGTGCCAGCGTGCACGCCGTACGCCTGCATGAACTCCTACACCAACCTGCCCCTCCACCTGGGGCACCTCTCGCCCCGCGAGCACCCTGGGGCGCCGGCAGGCTGCGGCCGGGGGGCCGGGCACTGGGACAGCGGCTGCAGAGACTGCGGGAGGCGCGGGGAGCCGGCCTTGCTGCGGCCGGCGGGGACGGAGAGGAGGAACACGGTGGTGGCCCGCGGGGTGATGAGTCCCTGTGCCGGCGGGTCCTGGCGGCGGGTCTCCAGCCTGGAGTCGGAGGTGTGACAGGGGGCTGGGGGGGTCTCTGCACCCCTCTGCCTGCCCTTTGCCTGGGCGTCCCCACGGGCCAGCCAGCAGCTCCCAGCTGGGCTTCGGCCTCCCGCGGTCCTGCACCGCCGTCAGCGGGATGCTCCAAGCAGCTCGGTGAGGGCCGTGCGCTTTGGGGGGTCAGAGGAGCCCGGCGGGGGCCAGGGCGCGCTGGCTTGGGCTCTTCCCGCAGGCAGGGCTGGCATCGGAGACGCCAAACTCATTGCCACTGTGTTGCCGTCACATTTTGGTGTCATTCAAGGGACTCGAAACGCCATGTCCAGGTCATTAAAGAGACATTTTCAACTGGCTGGGGCCCCTTCTTCCATCCACCAGCAACAAGCCCGGGGCTGCCCGTGGCTTTACCCCCTGTCACGGGGATGCTCGTGGTCCTGTGCACCCTCTCCCTGCTCGCGTCCCTTCACTGCTGAGCCCCGGCACAGGCTCATCGCACCGGCGGCAGCCAGGCAAAAGAAAATGGCAACTCATTAAACTGCACTGAGGGATAATTACTCAGGAGCCATCAGCCTGTGCCGAGGCTGGAGCCGAGCACCGAAGCCGGAGTTACTGCACCCCGCTCGGGTTTTGGGGGGGGGGGCACGGCTGGCTGCGAGCTCGGGTCAGCGAC